TACCAGTACGCCTTATATACATGTATTATGTACTTGAAATCCGTATTGTGTATTTTGTACCAATCGCGTCTCATATTGCAAATCTCTTTGCAACTGCAACATATGTGACTCAAATGTACAATCTGAAGTACATGCATTAGATGAAATACACGTATCATATGTGTCAACAACTATCTACATTTCAAATTAAGCAAATTAATTCCATCATAATCTGTATTATGTATAATCTCCAATTTGTATTATGTACCTGTGCTATATGTAATTCAATTGCCTATAATGTATTGTGTATAATCTGCAAACTGTATTAAGTATAAACTATTATGTCTAAACTGTAATATGTACGACAACCTGCCTTGTGTATTATGTATCTGTACTATGTACCAGTAAGTACCTGTATTATGTACTTGCAATCTGTATTTTATATACTATATTTTATGCATAATCTGCAATCTATATTATGTAATATGTACTGTATTGTGTGTCATTCAAATGCCCGTAATGTATTATGTATAATTTGCAATTTGTATTATGTTTTATGTATAATCTGTACTATGTACCTGTATGCATTATGTACCAGTATTATGTACTTGCAATCTGTATTTTATGTACTATATTTTATGTATAGTCTGCAACCTATATTATGTTATATGTACCCGTATGCATTATGTACCAGTATTATGTACTTGCAATCTGTATTTTATGTATAATCTGCAATCTATATTATGTAATATGTACCTGTACTGTGTGTGATTCAGGTGCCTGTAATGTATTGTATATAATCTGTACTCTGTTTCATGTATAATCTGTACTACGTACTTGTATGCATTATGTACCTGTATTATGTACTTGCAATCTGTATTATGTATAATGTACCAATTGCGTATCAAGTTGCAACTGCAATATTTGCGACCCAAACGTATATCCAATTTGTAGTACATGCAATTGATCCCATATACATACCATATAAGTCAATCAATATCTGCATTTCAAATTAAGCATATTAATTCTATAACAATCTGTATTATGTAACGCGCATAACCCGCAATTTGTATTATGAAGTATGTACCTGTATCACACACAGTGTAGGTGACTATAATGTATCTGAGATTTGTATCATGTATTTATTTTGTCCTTACGTACAGATGTCACGCAAAAACATCGTTAAATTACATTCGATAACGGTCAAAATGGATATTTTCGTTGAAATAATGACACCGAAATTTTTCGCGATTACCATATTTCCTTTTTGCTTCCTACAAGGAAGTAACAACAAACACAACTCTAATGTTGGAGGAATAATTCTGTAAAGTCTTTGACGATTCTGTGAGCTTTCTTAGAAATTCAAAGCTTAGTAATGTATATAGTTTGGTAATGATCCGTAATTTTAATGTAAATAGTTAAGTTTTTTAATTGATAACAAACAGATTAAATATGAAAGAATAACATCTTACGTTTTCCCAATTTGCAACAGACTCGAATAAAAAGTGAAACAATGTAAAATCGTGTTTCGAGACTAATAGCTCTAATAATAAAAAGACAAAGTTTTTTACGTCATCTTGTTAAGAAACCTAAACATATTATGAACGGAGAAAAGACTGTGTTCAAATTTTAACGACAGCCCAAAAGATTTCTTTCAAATTTTAATACGATTTATCAGCAAAGATTATCAATACAGATGGCCCAGGGGGAATAGCGAAATATGTTAAATATGCATTTAGACTCACAAGAGAACGTTACTTATTTTCTGTATATTGAAAATTAAAAAACATATGTAATGTAATGTAAGATGGCAACGTTTACAACAATCACATGTTTCTAAAAGCTGTATGAAAGAACTCTCTTTTTTCTTGCTCGTGATAGAATTCAGACGATTCCGCCATTAAGACGATGACTCGATTAAGATGATAGAAGCTTGCATGTAAAAGAAACATGTAAAAGTTTGCATGTACAGGTAACTTTTCTACATCTGTAAATAATATCATATTTTCATCTACGAATGTAATATTTCATAGTGTGCAGTGTTTTCACTAAATATTCAAGTTATCTATAAAATCGGACTAGTTTATTAGCCCCTAGACCGTCATCTCTGAAGCAAATTCACAGACTTCAAGGTACTAAGTACCGATTCCGTAGATTATATGGGCGTTCAGGTCGCGATGAACCTAGGAAGAATTACGTCGAAAATTACAACGAGAAAACGAGTAAGTTTGTTTTGACTATTTCTATATTGTTACTTCTAAGAATAGTGTTCTACTGTACTGTTAATCAAGATCACTACAGCGATCCCGATAAGGATGATGATTCTAATTCTGTTCAGTCAGAATCACTTCCCATAAATAATTCAGTAGATCAAAACATTATGACGCCTTGTAATATTTCATTGCATTTTTTCGACATTTTAGAAACTGTTTCCGAATTTAATGGTACTGATACATATTCCGCTTGAATCATTCATTTGTGATTTGGAAGAATCTTTTAATTTATTTAAGTTATCAATGATTACAAAAGATTGTGTTTACTAAAACATTGCTTTCTGATTATGCTAAAGTTTTTATTCGGTCTCTTAAAGGGACCGTCATGGAACAAGTTAAAAGAAAATCTTTTTATCTGAATTTGATTCTAAAATTAACCGTGCACAAGTTCATAAATGGTTACAGAAACGACATTTAAAACCTGGTGAATCCCTTTCCGGGTATTTAATTGCAAAGAACCAAGATGTTATAAATGTGAAAATATAGATGAAGTAATGGAACTCATATAACAATAAGAGTAAAAGATTTAAATGCTTTAAATATATGCACAAAATTGTTAATTTAGGTAGTTTGCAAATCGGTGCTTTAATAGATACTGGTAATCAAGTAACGTTAATTTGAGAAGATCTCCTGAACTTAAGCTGGCAAATCTACAGTTAACGGGATTAGGCAATGGCAAAATTAAGCGTATAGGAAGATTTGAAGCTGAATTCGAAATTGATGGTTCTTCATTTTGATCAAATATTTGTGTTACTGCAGAAAACGAAATATTTTATAAGCTATTATTGGTATCGATTTATAAGGCAAGGGCAGTCAAATGTAAATAAAAACGTAGTCGAAACTAAAAAATTGCAGCCAGAAAACTATGTGACATGCATTCGTGATATTTATAATGACGAGGAAATCGATTTAAATCCTATTAAAGACGGTGTACATCGAGAAGATATATTAAAATTAGTGATGAATAAGCGAATAAAATAAAAACATTTGCCCTGAAGATGAGAATAGTGTTGACAGATGAATGTTTTTTACCTTGCTGCTGATAGAATTCAGAGGATTCCGCCATTAAGACGACGACTCGATTAAGATGAAAGACCCTTGTGTGTAAAAGAAAAAGTTAGCGATCCCGATAAATTAAATTAAATTTTAAATTAAATGCAGTTTTATATAAATCAATCAGATTCAAAAGTAAAAAAATAATATATTTCAGAACTGCCCTTATTACGTTTAAACAGTTTAGATTGTTAATTGACAGATAAAATGCAAAAGAATAATATCTTACGTTTTTCTGAATGTCAACAGACTCGAATGAAAAGGGAAACAACGTAAACTAGCGTTTCGAGACTAATAGCCCTTCTGGGCAAAAATAGAAAAATGTATACAACATTTAACGTTGCATCGGAAATCCTAAACATATGCCGTTATCCTGCTGTTAAAACTTTTGTGATTTTGCTATTGAATAGTATGTGGCGCAAATGCGAAGAAAGCGATGTTTAATAATAAAGCTAAAAAGACAATTCTTGTTAGCTGGAGCAAGTATAAGAGCAGATTGATTACCTGACATATATTTTAATTCTTTTATTTAGAATATTTTTGTATAATTATTTCTCAGAAATATATTTTCTTTCAACAATTATGCTAATGGAACTAAGACCACAGTTAGGTAGTTAATGCTAAAACTAAATATAATATCCAAATGAGTCTGTGAGGTCACTGCTTGTGAAAATAACAAATAAAAACAAAAATGAGATCCAGTAACAGACTAACTATATTACCAGAAACCATTAAAACTTAAATCCATCAAATATGCAGCTAGACCACATTTATATTAATAGCAGATCTATTTCGTTTCATTTTGAAAGAGATGCGTCGAATGCATAACCAAATGTCTCCAAATTACCGAAAGGAGAGGACAAACTTAATGAGAGCCATTTAGCAGATTTACTGAACGGATTTTCCTTTGTTATAAAAACATGTAATTTTAAAAGCCTTTTATAGGTATTTTAGTGTTCCTGTCAACTCTAAACGAGTAATAGTTTTTGCTGATTTTTTTTTTGTTTGTTTGTGAATCATAGTATTTATAAAAATTCTTGTTCCATGTCCGATGATAATTACAATTTAAGAAAAAGGGATTTCAGAATTGATGTATTGATAAAAAAATGAAAAGAATTAGCGAATTATAAAAATAATCCTTCTTAGAAAAAAAGTAAACTAATGCCCGACTGAAACTGAAGTTCATTTTGTGTGGAAAGTTCAGTAAAAGTCAGTATACACTGTAAAAAAAATTCCGTAACGTTACTAAAAATACTCATGGAAACTGGGATGGCATGGGTTATTTGAGTAACAGTAACAGGTGCATTCTTTGTAACATTACAAAGATTATGCCTGTAAAGGTTACAGATCTCTTCTTCTGGCCTTCTGGGCTACAAATATCTGAATTGATGATGTGTAACTAAAGCTCGACGCTCTGATTAAGTTCGCAGTCTGTAGCATTTACATCTGTCAGAGGACGTATTCAGCATTTCATTAAGCATGTTCCCCAAGGCGGTATTAAATTCACGTTTTGAATGAGTTAAGCCTTAATTTCAAGTAATATATATTTAAAGAGATATGACTGCTGAATAGCGAAAAAATTGGATGGGAATTTTCTGTTTTTATTTAGAAGACTAAATCTGTGTAACAGTGTGAAAATGTGTTTTAAATATTATAATATAAAGTTCAAAATTTTAAATAAGGAGTGGAGAAACATTTTTAATATTTATTTACAAGCGAAATTCTTTATATACAGGAAAAAGTCCATGAACGGTAACTAATTTTTTTGATGATTTCTCACTCAATTCGGCAGTTACATTGAACCTCGGATCACGAACGTATCCTTTCCCTACGAGTACGAATAAATTATGCACGATGAGTACACATGAATAAATTATTTGAACAAAAGACGTCTAAGATGACAATGGTGTCTCGAGTTATGAAGCGCAAGTTGGAAGCAAATGATTTCCAAAGGTGTTATCATCTACTATGCCGCCCAGAATTAACTTAAAGTAAGTTTGAAATCATCATTTTTCCTTCCTTATTTGTCTTGACAAAATTCGATTTCAAGTGACTTATTGGATCATGAATTTGCCTCGGGGAAAATTATGCCCAGAATTTGTTGCAGGTCGGTACTTTGAGGGCTTTCACCGTGACGGTCTTAAAAATTAATAAGCTGAGGAATTACTAGAGTACCATAAAAATGAGCTCAGCTATAAAGAACAGCAACAGCTTCAGAAGCCGCAATAAAAGATGACTATGAAGGAAATGCTTTCAGAGAAATGAAGAAAAAGATGATCCTATTTCTTTAATCCTCCAAAATTGTTGGAAATGGGAGTAAGGTGCAAAGTTTTGATGCAGCAATACCACCCCGATAAAGCAGTAAATGTACCATAAGCCCTTTCAGAGACAACGCCATGTATCACTTTAGAAACATTTTGAACAACCTAATAACAACCAAACACAATGCCCAAATTTTCAGTGAGAGGGAAGCGCAGTCTGAAGCGGAACCGAGAGGCATTAAGAAATGAGAAAATGTTTCGGAAAGAGAGTATCTTATTTATCAATAGATATGGAGAGCTGACGTTCCTGTATATTAGTAGGAGACTCCTCACTAAAACAATAATGTTTCTTGCCTTTCGTTTGCTCTTCATTTTCCCCTTACGTCGTCTGCTTGTCCTTCGTACACGTACGATAAAATCAAACTGAGTGTTTGTTTATTTTGTCTGCTTAATATCGTGTTTATCTTTTTTTTTTTTTTTTTTCTTTTTTTTTTTTTTTTTTCTTTTCTTAGAATTGTTGATTTTTACTGGTTCTGCGTTACGATTTTGTGCTCAAAGTAGTGTTGTAAAGTATAGATAAGCATTCATTTGTGGTCCAGAAATGGATTTTCCTATGAGAAAAATAATTTTGGTTTGAGAGTATTTCGGATGATGAATGAATAGTCTTCAGGAAAGAATTAAGTCCGTGAACCGAGGTTTCACTAATTGGAAGAGAGATCATTTCAGTAACTGTTCAAATGAATTCAGCAACGAATTTCAGTAACCGTTCAGATTTTGGCACTTCAGATGAATTTTCCCTGTAAAAAAATGTTTTATTAATGCATATCTTATTTTTCTTTATTCATATGAAAGATAATATCTTGAATTTAAAAAAAAATTAAAGAAAGAAAATTTCGACATCAACAGCATTTCCTACGAAATGTAGGATATAAATTACAAATATTTTATGAAAGTATATAAAGAAATGAAAGTAGAAATCGCAACAACGTAACTAAATCGCATTTTTTGGAATCAGTGCTGAAGTTAAAAGAAATCGTTTTTAAATTTGTAAAGTATTAAACTCATATCTCATTCTCTTCATGTGAGAGGTAAAACAAGTATTAATTATCATAAATTCATTCAAATCTTTGCTGATATGAAAGAAAAAATAAAAAACAAAAGGGATATATTTGAAAGTTTTCAGTAAAATTTCTCATTTCTTCTTCAGCATGAATTTCATTTTTTGAGTGCCAGTCTACCACCCGGAATTTCGTAGTGCTTACGTTTTCCTACAAATGTTTGTAGAATATGTACTCTAAAAAAATGTACTTAAGTCGCAAAATTAGGTAAGAAGCATAATATTATTGACTAACAGTTAGTAAAATTTTGTTCGGGGTTTGTTGTCATATATTGTAGGACATAAAATATATTTCTTGCTCCACGAATTCATTATTTCTATAATTTTTCTTTTCTGCGTAATCCTGTTTCTATAAATGCTTTGAATGAACAATTAAATGAAATTAAATTAATCTAAATTTTAATAACCATTAAAAAGTTTAGTTTAAATAAATAATATAAAATGTTTAAAGAAGTGTATATTACATAGGACTTCTTTGTGCCAAAAACAAAATATACGATGCCAGTTACGGAACTTTTTTGCTGAGAAATGTACACAGCAAAATCAGTAGAAAACGTGTGTGAAAACTGTGTTGATTTAAACATGATGCCATAAAGTTGACATTTTTATAGCAGGGAAAGAAAGTATCTTCAGAAAATAAATTTCTTCACTTCAAATACGCAATCAGCCGAAAACTGAGATAGCTAAATTATATTTACTGAAATGCTTTAATATAAATATTATTCAATTTCATTAGTTGCAATAAAATGAACTTTCATGAAAGCATTCCTGTACAAAAATCTTTTGTATCAATTGACAGCATAATAAAGGATTTTCCCATAACGAACATGCTGGCCTAAGGGACTAACTACACAACAAGATGTAACACAATTTACTTCCTTGTTACTTCAATTACTTGAGTATTTTCTCGAAACTGTGAATTGATTTAGACGATTACAAAAACAGGTAAACTTTCCACTGATTAAGACAATGCTGTTTACAACAAAATCACTGAAAGATTATTTCCTATCTTAAACATGGAGATAGAGCGCAAATCACTGCACAAAAATACATACGTGTGCAAAATTAAGAAATTGGCTCATTATATTGAATTCGGTACAAATAATTGACAGATTTCAATGAAATAGTATATGAATATAAGTTTAACGCAGAAAGAGATGTAACGTTCAAAAGTCATTTTATGTACGCATGAACTATAGTAAAGCTCATAATGCAGGTATGTCAAAAGTCCAAGTTATGATATTGAACTGAAAATGAGTCTCATATGGGGTGTGGTCCGCTCTCAAAGACAGACAAGTCGCGCAGCGTGACGGCATACTGGACAAGAGGCGATTGAGGTGTTCTTGTGCAGTCGATCCGACACCTGTAGCATGGCCGTTTTCACCTTCGGGAGCTGGTTTTTGGAGGGGGATGGCGAGAGGAAATTGCCCTTCCAGAGAGCGTATTAGACATGCTGTATAGGGTTAAAATATGCTCGATGGGGTTAATTACCAGACATGCTCTATAGGTGATCTGGCTGGAGAAACCATGCGAGGAATATCTTCACTTTCCAGTTAATCCTTGACCAGCTGAGCCTTATATGGATGAACGTTGTTGCCCATTAACAGGAACTCAGAACCAACTGCACCCTTGAAAGGTCGAAAATAGGGCTGTAAGATATCTTTTCTATACTTCACTGCCGACAGTGAGCCTTTGACAAAGATATCGATATTCTGCTGCCAACCCACGTATAGCTTGCTCAAACTATTACTCCTCCACCACCGTCATGATCCTTTTCTCTGATGAGGGAGAGATGAAATTGTGCTCCAAGCTCTCTCCAGAACAGGTACGCCGAGAATCAGTGTCCAGGCTAAATTTCGACTAATTTGTAAAAAGCATGGTTCTCTGCATCATACTAGACGCTTTCGTTTGTGTATTGTAGTGATCGGGACGCAAACAGTGGTTCTTCTGGGATACAGCCCCACCTCCTGAAGCCTTCGAGGAACTGTGAACTGTGAAAATCGCGTCTCAGTAGCAGTATACTGGACATGAAAGCTGTGAAACTCTAGATGGCCTGTGTCGCCGTGATGAAAATGCCATGACCAAATTCATCCATATTCAAAAGACCATATCAGGCCTTTTGGATATAAGTCCAGTACCCTGAAACTTTTACCACAAATTATAGATGACACTGGGCACACACACGTCTTAAACCACCTACGCTTGTGAATGCAATTCCTACTACCGGTGACAATTCTCTGTCACCGATTTCGTTCGTGGCTGCTTATTTAATGTAATACCTCAAGAAAGTTTCCTCTACTTTTGAGAGAAACTCGGCGAATTTCGTGAAGAAGTACCAGCACACTTGGCGAAAAGCTCTCGTGTGCTTATATCCCTCCGCAATCACATCTTTGCAGATACGCAGGTGTACACTCACATATTCAACTCCGAATAGTTGCATAATTCTTCGCCGGCCTAATTAGTAACTTTTATTCAATATTTTTCTTAAATTAGATCTACTTTGCAAACTTTCTTAATTTTGCTTATGCGTGTATACAAACAGAGGCTGCCCAGAAGCTGTCTGTATGCGAGAGTATCCATGCTTAGTAAAGTTCTGGTTTTGATCGCGAACCAGAACCGTCTTAAATCGAAGTCAGAAACATGGAATGTCCTTTTGCGTATGGGCTTCAGCTATATATATTGAGTAATTCTAAAAGAAACATTTCTCTGGATAGTGATAAAAATATCTCCAACAGTATTAGAATTAGAATGATTGTTTGGGATAGCTGTGCGCTCGGAAATAAAATCAAGTTCTAAAAATAATTCTCATATGTGGTTTGGGCTTTTATAATAAAATTCTCAGCCATTTTAAAATATGTGTTTTCCTTTCTATCATTTTTGTATGTTATATTTATTCGATTTCACATGTTTGGCTTTCTTGTAATAAGCATTAGAAATAATTTCAAAAATACGCAATGCTTTTTATCATCTCCCAAATATCTTATTGCTTTGAGATAGAGAACTTGTACATTATAAATAAAGATTAATGCTCTGCAAATACGCAATTGCTAGTCAAAACGGTGAATAAAATCTCTTATTTATGTTTTGTATTGTAAAAATGCTTAGAGAATTATTTTAAATTATTAGAGAATTATTTAAAATGAGTTACTTAAAAAGGTTTTGTGTGTGCTATTTAAAGATATTCTACAAGTGACTTTTCATAAATCTTTTGTATGAAAACTAATGTGAATTTTAATATCTTATAGCATACCAATTGTAAAATCTCTAATTACTTTCCACTCATTTACATTAATAAGGTATTGAATGATGATATGCGTTTTAGAAGCTTACAAACTACAATCTTTTACATATAAATTATCTTTATAGATTTCATTTGAAAGGTAAAACACATTTTCTATTTACTTTAGATTTTTATGTTTAAAATACTTGCGTTTGAAAACTAGAGACAATAACAAACACCGAATCTTTTAAAATAAAAATGTTTAGAAGTTTTTCCGCATTTTTCAGCAGTAAATTTTCCCTTTAATCTTCTTTTATATTGACAAATGTAGATAATATTTATATACATTAAGAAGTGAAGCAAAATATTTACAAAAGTAAATAGGATTTTAAAAATGTTCAGTAATAAGAGCCTTGGCCATCACTTATTCTCCTAGTGATCGTTCTAGTGTATTTCTCTCCAACTTGAGTCATTATTTCTCTTCCCAAATACATGTTTTTGCAAATGCTATTGTGACCTTAGGCTAAATAACTAAAGCTTTTTAAACATAACGTAATTCGGGTATAGTAATAGAATTAGATATTATACTGGTCATCAGTAAACAATTGCAATATTATTAATAATATATATATATATTATACTAGTCATCAGTAAACGATTGCAGCTAGTGCAATCGTTTACTGATGACCACTTGGATGTAATAATGTTTCACTTACCTTTAATGTTAATGTACTTATGTAGCTAATCATATCCTACCTGATCTGATATGTAAGTTAAATTATGGCACTCGTAATGTACAGCATTTATTTTAAGTACACCTTTTGTTCATATTCTTCGCCAACGGTTTCCTTCAGTTTCTTGAAACGAAAAGCAAGACCCATTTTCTAAAGAGAAGAAAAAAAAACACCATTTAAAATCTTATTTATTTACACAATTGATTAAAACAACTGACGCAGGAGTAGTTGTACACGGATCTAAAATATGCAATAAATTTTGTAACATGTATGTTTATGTTTTACTCAGAGACTAATGTAAATTGCAGAACAAGATAAAGAATTTATATATCTACAACAATTACATTCAGATAAAAACATTAAAATATTTCAACATTGCTATTTGTCGATATTTGAATGCAAGTGGATTTTAAGATATGATGAAATTTTCGGAATGTTGCTTAGAATAAGTTGATAAATGAGTTTAACTTTGGACATATTAAGTCTGTTTCATAATAATATATCTCAGGCTATTAGGTTTATTCTGAACAGGAAAAGACAAAAACTAATCGTGGCTTTGACGAGAATCGAATATTTCCAATTATTTGACACTTGAATATGGCGATTCTATTACTTGAATATGGTGTTATTTATTAGTACGTGATTATGGTGACCACTATATCGAGCATACGGGAGAGGAATATTTTTCTTCTATTCTGCTGAGAAGATGACTTGAACGTAATAGGCGAGACATTAGCAGGCTAAATCCAGACGGTAATAATTTTTTTAAAATTAGGAGGGCATATTTTAGAAATTTAGAAATCCATGAGTTCGCGGGGCATGGTTATGATAAAATGTATCTCCATGTTATATTTTTAGCAGTTGTTACCGTTAAATTACACAATAAACATATACGCTTTTCTTTATAATAAATAAAAGAAAATTTGTCTTCCTACTCATCATTAAAATAATTTGTGTTGCTTGTTATTTCTTTTTTTTTATGGTGGCATTCTGCTTAAAACTCGAAATACAAATTCATGAAATGACATATTTACGTTACAGAAATATAAACAGAAGATACAGAATTCTTTACAGAAATATAAACAGAAGTTGATGATGTACGTAGCATGCCGTGGTGGACAGAGTATAATAGGAACAGGTAGTTCACTTGCATGTGTAATCAGATGCTTTTAGCAGCCGAAAATTGATTTACCTAGTCATCTCGAGTCTCTATGATTTAGCGCTTGTCAAACGTTTAACTGCACAGTTCCTACAAATATTAAAATGTGCAAGATAAAATGCTTCGTTACAATTAGGAATGTTTGTTCTCCATATAACCTAAAATTTAGAATTTGAATATTTAAAAGACGAGCAGTTTAAATTTTCTTCGAGGGCACAGCATTGCCGACCCCTGCTATAGAGTCATTAAAATTCCTAAGTGGAGAAACTTCGAAAAATTAAACTCATCCTCTCTAGGAAGCATTCTTCAAAGTTTGATGCTCTGCAAGTGATATTAATTCAGTGAGCTAGATAACTTGCATATAGTTCATATTTATAACTTCGACTCCAGCTTCTGATACCATTCACTATATTCTTTTAGTGTGTGCTGGCGGAGTAGATTAAATGCTTTTCTTTTGTATTTTAACTACTCTTTTGTTATTTTCCATTAAAGAAACTGTGGAATTCCTTTAATGCAAAACACAGTTATTACTCAGACTTAAGTATTACATTAAATGTTAGATATATTTTTACTTCCGCTGAATTGTTCATTTTGTGGCATCTGTGGAGTCTTGCCACTGTTACCAGCCCAGAGTTTGTCTGCTGGTAGCAGGACAGACAGTGTGGCTAGCCACACCAGAGTCCATGGCTGCAAGGACAATCTAGTAACTTGGGCAGTTAATATGCATGCAACATGAAAAGCGTGTATTGAAAAGTAGAAGGGCCTTTGGTTGAAGGACTTCATCATGACGTTGTGCTGTCAAAGTGCCCGCAATGAAAATCAACTGTGATAGAACATTCCATGAAATTGCACACCTTACCATAAGCCTCCTTCGTTTGGACGTTTTACAAAATGTTCATTTGCAGCTTATCATATTCTTTTCTCACGTAGATGTCAACCGCACCAAGAAAAAGTGAGAATCACCAATAAAGATTAATTGCTGCCGTTCAATGTGGTTAGATGATATACTTACGGAGGGTTATCTCCTTTTATATTGATAGTCCTGTGCTGTCACGGGCAGTTGCCTTAATGGTCTGTGTACATGTAAATCCTGCAGCGGGCAACCGTGTGTTAATAGTACTGGCATTTAAAGGATTCTGCAGGGAAGCGATCACTGTTTGCTGCATATCCGCTGCATGACAGGTTGGGGTGTTTTCCTCATGTCGGTTTCGTTTGGTTCATTTGATTTTGGAGAAACACTCGAGGACTATGCCCAAGGACATGGATGCTTTCGTGGAGGACTTTCAAGGGGAACCTGGCTCTATACACTTTACACATGGGAAAAGCCTCGAAAGAGCCCATACAGTCAACCCTTTCGCTGAGATTCGACCCCCGAACCGAACTTTCAATGATTAGCGACTTCAAACCTCGACCGCTTCCCTCTTGTCGGATGACCCTTTATTCTTCTACACTTATATACGGAGGTCTCCTGTTTACATGTCCTGAAATCCAATGCTTCTTATAGTCTTCGACAGTTAAATGCTGCGTGACATTAAGAAGAGCAGATGTATGAAATGACGGTCCACCTTTCATGCATTCGTATCATCCGACACTCCTTGAGTGCATCAACTGCTCAAATGGTCCCCCTGCTTGAAAATAGTTTATGTAGTAGTGCATCACGATTGTACCTAAATATGAACAACCGCCGTCCTATCCACTTACTCCTGTTCTGAATTTTCCTTTAAGTCAAAATATGCTTTAAACGCTACAATACTAATCAAACCAAAATTGTACACATCGGGTAGATCTTTTAAGATGTTCCAGGTATGGTGATCAACTTAGCTCTTTCTGATGTCCTTTGTGTGGATGAATGTGAAATCTGGATCCTCTACACATCGAACAAGTCTAGAGCTTAAGAGAATTTTAATATTTTTCAGCTATTTTGTGTAAACATGTTTGAAAACATTCACAGACTGTTTCCAAACAAAAATTTCAAAACTTTAAAAATGGAAGCGTATGCTTATGTGTGGATGGGATAATAAAAGAAAGGCTCTCTAAAAAACACGTGGGATGTTCTGCCCTTTGTTCTGTTGCACATCGTGGCGGCTTCCGAATTGTTTTTTTTCTGGGGAAGGGAAGAGGGTAAATCTTCGGTTAAATTTGGAGGCACACAGTTAAAATATGTGATCACTAAAATTTAAATGATGGAATGAATAGAGCTAGAAAACCGGAAGCAGGGGCCAAGTATCTTGAATATAACACGAGAAACATATGGAAATAAAGGGTATCAAATCCATTGGAGAAAGCTTGAGAAAAGTTATTTAGAAAGAACAAAGGCAAATGAAAACAAATGCTTGTCCATTTCAATGAGGCTATGGTGGCGTGGTGGTTACGTGCTTGGTGTATATCCTTGAATTGACATGACTCCTTTTCTTTAACTTTTATTCACACACACCATAACTTTAAACACATCTGAAATAACAGAACGAATAAAACAAACCACTAAACTAAAATTCAAACATTCCATGCTGCAGCTAAGGGCGAAGTGAGTGAGTTCACTGCCGCGCTAGCAGTTTTTACATAAACTACATGACGTGGATTGGGTGCGCACGCAGTCGAACATTAGATTGCCACGGAGTATTTCCCAGTGACACAGTCGTGACACAAAATGGGTTGGCTGTAAATTTCCAATTTAAGATATGCACATTCAAATAACAGTTATACTTTAAAATTGTACGTACAAAAAGAAATACAAATATATGAATAGTGTTTACGTTCCTCGTATTAGAATGGCGCCGATATGGATGACGCAGTTTCGACTTTAAACATACTTAATAAATTCAGTCACTCTCGTCTATTTAAACCAAACTGAATACATTTAATAATAAAACATTCACACGTAAACATTTAGTAATAATTCAGCAGTACAGATAAGCATAAAATAATAATTACAACAGTTACAGGTCAGCTACGCTTTTAGCGACCGAATTCTACTAACGACAAATCTCAAAAGCGTGTTGCCAAAGCAGGGCAACGAAAAAGTAGAAATTAATTCGATAGGCGTGGAAGTAAACATACTCCCACCCTATCAGGTTTAGTCCTGATACACACGCAAAGGTGAAAGTTTATTAATTGCTCTCTTAAAAACACCAGTTTTAGTTTTGACTGTAGCTACGCGAACTAAGCCGTCCTTGCCCGGATGGACATCGATGAGGCCAAGCTAGAGGTGGAGATCCATCTTCGATGACAAGAACCACCGTGTCAATCTTTAGATTGGGTCTGTTTCGCTGCCACTTGGATTTCTGCTGAAGAGAACTCAAATATTCCCTTTTCCATCGCTTCCACAATCCCAGACGTAGATTCTGTACAAGTTCCCACCTAGAACTCCTTGTGCGAACAGACTGATGTGTCTCTGGAAAGGAAGTCAAAGTATCACCTATAATAAAATGAGAAGGGGTTAAAACATTAATAGAGTCAATATCAGTATCGTTCACGTAAGTAAGTGGACGTGAATTCAAAATAGCCTCGATCTGGGTAAGTAGCGTTGACAACTCTTCGTAAGTTTAAAGAGTCTCTTTCAATACTCTTCTCAGATGAAATTTCGCTGAGCGAATGCCTCCTTCCCATATTCCTCCGAAGTGGGGCGAAGCAGGTGGTATAAAATGCCATTCAATGGATGATTTAGTTAGTTCTCTGGAAACCGATTCTGGTGCATACAAGGCAGACCAAATCTGATTTAGTTCTTGTAGTTTTCGGCATGCTCCCACAAAATTGGTACCGTTGTCACTGTAAATGTGCCGTGGTGCACCGCGACGTGAAATGAAACGTCTAAGTACCGCGATAAACGAGTCTGCCGTCAGGTCACTGACTGCTTCTATATGCACAGCTTTAGTCGACAAGCAAACAAACAGAGCTATATAGCTTTTCGTTGTTTTAGAACCACGACCCTTATTAAATTTCATGATAATAGGACCAGCGTAATCCACACCAGATGCGTAAAAAGGTCGTTCCA